ATGGCGGCCTCGACCGAAGAGCATGTCCCTAAAGCTCTTCAACTTCTTCTACTACTACGACTGCTGTTGCTGCTGCTACTACTACTACTACTACTACTAGTACTACTACTACTACTACTACTACTACTACCACTACTAGTTGGACTGCTACTACAGTACTACTACGACTATTACTGATCCCCGTAATTGTTTTTGATCCTGATTTAATTTTTTTTGATCCGTAATCCCTAGATTTTTCCCAAGCTTTGTTGCATTCCTACTGCATTAATTTGGTTTAATTTTTTTTGATCCTAATTTAATGTTTTTTTGATCCCTCACCCGCACGGGACCAGGCGAGCGGGGGACCGCAGGACCAAGACCGCGGGACCAGAGGACCAGAGGACCACCTTCAAGCTAAACCTTTTAAAGGACAGCCTCTCGCCAAACCTTAGGAAAGAACTGGCCCCTCATTGTGTTCACAAACAAAAAAGCAGGTCTGCGAAGATCTCCACGGAGTTTTCGATCGCACCGGAAGCAACTGCAGGTCGGAGTGACTGCCGTTGGTAAACATATTCCTTTGAGGCACACTGCAAATTTCCACATGGCACCAGCACAGCCAGGCTGCTCAAGTTTGCCTTCGAAAAGCCGTTACTTCACGAGGATCGTCAAGAACCTACATTGACAAGCGATCAAAGCGCTCCATAAACTTCAAACTGTTGCAGCCGGCAGAAACATGGAAGACAGACAGTGTTCCAGGGCTGACACCGCATGGACGACAGAAACAAACGTCAAAGGACAAAGGCTGTGGACTTCAGCTAATCATCGTCCAGCAGTACATGACATGCTTTGCATGTCCTCAGGCACTTGTACTTAAACTCATCTATTGTGCATAGACCGAAGGCTTTGGCCTCAGAACATGTGGAAACCTTGGGAGCAAGTCCGAAATGGTAAACATGAGCATGCACGACGCTCTTGGTGGTCACAAAATGCAAGCCAGCAGCGTTCTGTATCGGAGTTGACAATCCAGCATCACGACACAATGCATGGCACTCAGGATTGCACCCGTTCGGCGAAGGTGCGATGTGGCTAGCATGCGAAGCGTTGGTGCATCCACAGCTCTCCGGGCAAATGCGCGCCAACGGTGCTATCACCTCGTCGATGCCTGAGCGGGTCAAACAGTAGAAATGCCGTGGCTTCCTGCGTCGATATCTTCTTCTGCTCGTTCGCATTTCTGTTGCCGGTGCCAAGGGAAGTATAAGGTCTCAAGTGTCCGACCGTTTTCATTGCAAACAACCAGAAAGGTATATGTGCTCGTGTTTAACGACACCAAAGGCTGTATGGGAGCTTGTGCACCAATACAGATGCTTAACAATGCGAGTGACAAGTTTACTCGCAGATACTCGGGGCATACTCATGATAGCCGTAAGAAGCCGTCAAGATAATGAATGAGTATAACTACAGCCCTTCAGTACGAGTACGCAGGGGAAGACTGCGTGCAGACAGCAGCGTAGGTCGTTTCTGCTGCTACTTGCACTGCTAACTTACACTAGAACCACTCGATGCGACTCGATGTGCCAGTAACAGGCTCCTTTGCTGCAGGAACTGGCCCAAACTTGGCGGCAATGGATACACATGGGGACATGCATGACATGTCCGAGCATAGAAGCATCATGTTAGAGAGTCTTCGCTATGGACTCGCACCTGTGCTGGCTCCGTGAGTCCCGCTTGTGGCCCTTATTGTTGTTTGTACTGGCCGCGATGCCATCACACCAGCGCTGCTGTGTCACTGGTTCCTTGGCCAGTTCCGGATGAAAAGCCAACGCGGCACATCCGAACTCCTGCATGGCTCCGATCAGTTGCAGAACCCACCTCGGCTGCAAACTGCAAATCCGAGCAGCTGCTGCGCAGGATCGTATTCTACTTGTGTTGGTCCTTCAACTGGCTGACTCCTCGACTCCTGCTGCTTCAATCAAGGCTTGCTGCTATCGTATCCTCCGCGACTTCAGTGTAAGCTTCAGTTGTATGCGTAAACCCCTTGCAGGTTTCAGCGATGAACAACCAAGAACCTGTCACAAGCTCAACAAGCACAACTGGATCCGGCCTTGCTGGCAGATCTCTCACAGCCAAGATCTTGAAGCACCCAGCACCGAAAACTCCCGTTTGCCACCAAGGCGCTGACCCAGGGTCGAGTTGTAGTCGAGCATCACACCGATCTCGCTGCTGAGCACTGTAGGATAACCATCCCAGAATTGCTTCCACATTGCTCCATTCTCAATGTCCTCGCAGATCGGCTGCTCTGGGCTGGCCGCGTTTGACAAGCAATTCCTGCTGCAGCCCTTGTGTGGCACCTTGTAAACCGGGTAACTTCGTGGATCCGCGCATCCACAAGTGACGCCGCAAACCTGCCGGAGCATACGTGCCTCCGCATCGTTGCAATGACTGACCATGTCCAAGCACGTGCTGTTGCGCGGCTCGTTGAGAACCGCGGCAGCAGACCAAAAGTAGGGTCTGTACAGATCCACGAACTCGTTCACAATTTCTTCGTCTGGCTGGTCCAGAATGTAGAGCGTGTCCAGATCCTTGCAGTAGGCAAAGCCTGTGGCCGATTCTTCCATGGTCTGCAACACCATACGGTCAAAGCGCTGAACGTCACTCTGAAAACTGATGTAGTCTGCTGGCATCGAGGGCTCTTGGTATATGTAATTCTCTACCGCCAGCTGACTCAACGTTCTGCCAGAAACATTGGCGTGCCTCGGGTCGTTGCAGAACACCTCTCTCCGACAAAAACGAGACTCGCCCGGAATTAACGCAAAAGCAAAATCGACTCGCTTCGCCACCGCTGACGGAATCGTCCGTATGCCAAAGACGAGCTGGATGTCTTCATTCATTCCCACCACGAAGTCTTGGTTTCCAAAGCAGTAGGCTCGCTTGACCTGCATGTTTTGCGAAGACGACGGATGAAGTCGTGGGTTAGACTACCCCTGTCCCCCATTCTCATGGCACCTGTGCTTATGCGAAATAGCCGTTCCAGCCATGGCCCGGCCATGATAGTAGAGAACTCATATGCGACGTCCGGCGGCTTCGCTTTATTTCAATCCTGGTGCCTGCGACCTCAACAACCGCCTCCCAGTCACCCTGCGCTTCAGGCTGATGATTGCCCAAAATACTAGCTCCGCTCCAGCTCTTGCGGAGGCCCCGGCTCACAACATTAAGCGCAGGGACCCAGTTCTCATGCCCGTAGACACGTACACTCTGGGAGCATGCTCGAAGAAACAGGAATATATTGCGATGGTTGGGCCGCGCCATACATTCATTGCGCCAGATTCAACTTCATTACACGAATTCCAGTTAGCTTTACGTGAGCCTGGCCTATCTTCGCCCGATGCGGGCGCAGGGCAAACAAATATGGGCAAATGCGGAATAATTAGTGATAATAGCAATACCGAAACATGGGCACGGCATCTACCTCAACGACAGGAACATCAACCCACGTTGTGAAATGCATTCTCGAAACCGGCAAATGTATTGTGGGACGGCCATGGACGGCCCCCCCCCCCCTCGGCAATACGTTCGTTAGGGCTGGCATTGTTTGCCAATCCACATCAATCCACTCCTCGACGAAAGCCCTCCTTGAATTGTGGAAAGACGAAGTTGTCAGTTGGTTTGGGACCTTCAAGTGGCATTGCTAGGCCGTCGAATTCTTTACTTCAGGAGTCGAAGTACATGTCGAGGCTGTTTTTGCAAAATCAAACGCGTCGTCCTTTCAGAGGTCATTCGTAGAAAGCTGTGAGATGAGGTGTTTTATTGCATATATGAAAGCGGTGCTCAATGTCCTGGCACAGTCGAAGATGTGCGACCGCTTGTACTTTCTCATTCCGGCTGAATCAGCTCTTCGCAGGATTCATCAGCAAGCCAATCGAAAAACTGCGATGGCTGAAGCATTTTGTATGTTCGGCACTGGCGATCAGCCTAGAGTCCTATGCTGTAGGGCGCCTAAAACCTCACCCTTGCTCCATCCTGCTCCCCGCCCCCGAAACAAAAATGGAAAGGACAAGATCTGCAAACTTGTTTTAACCTGACGGCTGCACAGAAGCATCGGCAATCTTGGAAGGCCGGGTTGCTGTTTCCATGTCCTGCGCAAGTGGATTGACGATGTAGACATATGACCATGCCAGGACGCCTCCCAAGGCCAGCATGATGCAGACCGCCTCCACCTTCCAAGTCAAAGCTGCCGACAAGTCGAAGGTGCCAGCGAGTGTGCTTTGAAGACCGAGCCGCCCCGCGTTCCCAAGTGCCGGTAACGATTGCGTGCGAAAGTTGGGAGTGTCGGCGGTGCCCGCAAAATCAAGATTCTCCTGCCTTGATGCCTGCTTAGATGGAACCCTTGTTCAGGGTTGAGGCGGTGCTTTTCCATCGTGCATGGTACATTGGTACACAACAACGCACGCAGGACTGCACCAAGCGATGTCAGTTGAGAGTTGCGCACACCACGCTCACAGTCGAACTTCGAATTCATAGCTGGAGAAGCCGCAAATGCTGAGGAGCCTAAAAGCTACGTAAGCCCTCGCCCGGAACCCTAGAGACACCAAAAGTCCGCACTTTTGACTCAGGATTGCTTAAATCGGCTTGTGTGCTTAAATTGGGGTGTGCTTCAATCGCGCGTGCTCGATTTGCAGCGGATGCTCGACTCGCGATTCAAAGCAGAGCCCACTCAATGGCCTGGCTGCGGCAGCGGCTGTACCTGATCTTGATGGCCTTGGCCGCCACCCATGTCTTAATCACTTTCCGCATTTATTAAACCCACCCCTAATGACATTCGGGGAGTGTAAGAGCAAGAGCAAGAGCAAAAGCACGAACAAGAGCAAAAGCAAGAGCCACAGCAGGAGCAGGAGCTGGAGCAAGAGCAGGAGCAAGAGTCGCAGCAGGAGCTGGAGCAAGAGCCAGAGCTTGAGCAAGATCTTCCCCAATGTGACAGTAGAGATAAAAATGCCCCCTAGCAAAACCAAAAACGTTTCGAATTGCTATTGGGGAGCCCCCGTTTACTAACTTGGGGGAACGGATTATCATAGTTCAATCCATCCATGACGTTGGGAGGCGTACATCCAATCACTGGACACATTGTACTCTGGAACTGCTGCCAACATCGAATGCCTCAAGGTCTTGGATCTTGATCTGGAGTTTCTTGGGCATCAGCGCGGCGAAGACCATCTCCTAGTCAAATCTCTCGTGCGAATTTCGAAGAGTTGCGAAGTCTTAGGTCTGCGTCATCTAATGGCTAATGATGCTTTGCATGAGCGCCTACTCCCCCGACAGTTGCTGCAGCCAAGTCCAACCAAGCATCATCGACGCTCAGCACTGCACCCAGAGCAACCGCATTTACTATGAGGTCACTGATCGATGTCGTTGCCCCCAGCCACAATATGCCTGCGTACCTGGTATTCGGCGAGTCAGCTTCAAACTGCTTGCCCACTCTTACACTACTTCACTGCTTGCTTATCTACTCTAGTAACTTTAGTAGCATTTTTGCAGAGAGTCGAACAATTGGATGCTTTTGCGAAGTCTGATGTATGCGGGTCACAGCAGGGCTCCGCTGATGGCTGCCCGAAGCAGGCGCAAGAGGAAGTAGGCACAGAAACGTGGCCATGACATAGCCTTGAAGCGCCCGTCGTGGAAGTCAGTCCTACCAAGAAAGGCCAGATCAAACAGACAGCGTCTATCACCGCTCTTGCGAGATGCTGTTGAGCCTTTACAGATTGGTTCTCGCGACTCTACCCATCAGCCGCCAGTACCCGTTCTCGTGTGACTTGCCAGCCTAAGTCAAAAGTGGAAAAGTTTGCATCGAGAAATTTCAGGACAAGACCCCCCAATGATTTCCTGAGAACATTCTCCAGAAGGCCAGAACCACCGCCGAAAGTGCCTCACTGCCCAAGCTCCTGCGCTTGAGTGGAAGCTGGGCCACGGCTTCCAGTGAAAGCCATATGGTGCGGAATTCGTTAGAGATGTACCTTGGATCTCAACAGACACAATTTGTCCCATCAAGGTTCCTCAGCCAGGGCCAGGCCACAGGCACCAGAGGAGGATGCAGAGCATGGCCAGCAACACACCCGTTCGAGAGGCATCCTCTTGGTCAAAATCCGTAGATTTCCTTGCAGCTGCACGTCTGCTGATGTATTCTCACGATTGAAGCTGCATTTGGTGATGCAGAGTTTACGTTGGAGTCCTAGCATGCAAACACTGAGCCGTACCTTCGGTCCACCAAACACATCCATGCCGACCATGGCACCCTACACCAGGCAGCCTGAAATATACTTGGTGCCACCAATATCAATTCACATCGACGGGTTGCTACTATTTCACTTAGACTTCGGTGGTGAGGACGCAGGGCTGCACCGAGAAGACGAGATGCTGATATCCGAGGAACGAGTTGATCTGCCGTATCAGTGAGGCCTGTTGTAGACGTGCACATGATCGAAGCAAGGCAGTTGCAAAGTTAAGAATGAAGGATACCGGTCACAGGTTGTCCCAAACTTTCACAAGCAGATGCTTTCGCATGTACTCTCCGGAATTGGCTGGCATTGCTGCTGCACACTGGTCACTGCTGCAGCCTGATCTGTGGAAAGGATGAGAGCGCCGTCGTCGTTGCAGACCCGGCTGATGAGACTCGTCTGTGCAAGGTCAACGTGCCTCAACAAATGTAAACGTGTTGACTCCGGGATCCATCCGTGTTCTCTCCAAGTAATCGCTTCCCCTGACGATAAGCCCTCCCAATAAGTGACATCTTTCGACGGGTGATTTTGCGTTTCGGGGCCAGGGCCGTAAATAGAGCCAGAAAAAAATAGGGGACCAACCAGGACTGTACAGTATCGGTTGTACAAGGCTAGGACCACTACAACCAGTCGTAAGAGTGATACTACAAATAGGCAAAGAAGCACTTCAACATGCCGGAGGGGAGTGTTTTCATGCTGGGGGAACCGACTACTCCTTATCCAATCTTATGAACCTTCAGTCTAGATTCCAGATTCCAAAGCTACAAGGCGTTGTCTCCACAGCTGCAGCCATGTGTGAAGAAAACCGAAATCGCTTTATTCCCTGACAGTGCGCTTGAAAGTGTAAACGACACTTGCAATTTTGCTTGTTTGCTATGGCTCTGAGAATTCAGAGAAGACGAACTCAATCCCAGCAAGCTGCATTGAATCGTGCGCCACGCTTCTCCGCCAGGCTGTGGCAATCTCGATCCTCAATTGCGAACAGGTTGCCCGGTTCTTCGAATAACCATTGACTGTCAAATTCTGTTTCTCGTTGTATCTGGTCCCCCGGCAACTACGTAGGCGTGCATGACATTGCACCTGACCTTCACGCAACATGGTTCTGATCTGCCCCATACTATTCCCGCCGAAGTCAACCTGGCAAACCAGGAACTAAACGACAAAGGATGTTGCCATGTAGCAACAGCACTGAGCAGCAAAGGCTCTGCAGGCTGAAAGGATCACCCTGGAATTCCGGACTCCTCGGCATCCAAAATATCCAAAATGCTTAAACTAATGTTCTGACTGGACATGTGGTTGGGATCGGAGCAACCACGTTTGTGCCATAAACTCAGACATAACTTAACGTTCTTCGGCTCACTATTCACAACAACATCGTGAGTGACACATGGGAGCATAGAAGTGATTGCTACATACACCCCAAAGTCATTCAGCGTATATTCATGCTGATGGGTGCTGGTGGTGCTCGCGGTGATGGTGGTGATTGTGGATCGTGGTCGCGGGTCGTGGTGCTGCTTGCTTGCATTGCTGCTGGTCGCCGCAACAGAAGCCTTGGCTTTCTTGACACTTCGCGAATGCAGAAAGTTGTGTCGTGCATTTGAGCAAAGATAGAGTGAGCCTCGCAAAAACTGGACCCTGCAGATGAACTCAAGCAGACAGAACCCGTGCATTGTCAATTGCAGTCAGTCGGAGAAGCCCAGATGTTCAGCCAACACAGCCACTGTGCGCAATCACCCAGAAAACGACAAGCTACAAACGATCGGTGCTAAATCCTGCAAATTGAATGCAACTTGCAGTCGGCGCTCGTGCACTTGACAGCCTACTGGCGCAAGCGATCCTGAAGCGAGATGCTGATGCCGGACAGGGCTCAACAAGATCCAACTGAAAAAGGCTTGCGTGGCCACGCTGGCCAGGAAGAGCAGACAAGCAATCACCACATCCTCTGCTTGGGAGGCTGCATGGGATCAAAGTTCTGTTGAGACTGAGCTTCTTCATGCCAGAGATTGAAGAGTCAAGACAGCGGGAACCTCTGTGGCCATCAACATGCGACCCTTAGCGTCAGCACCATCGTTCGTTGTGTTTCGTTGTCGTCGTCCTATTCTGCACGCAAACCTCCCACACAAGATTTTGCGCACATTACACCTTACGTTTACCTGCACGACATCTCTCTGACAAAAAGCCGAGCGGCACACCAGCCTGCACCGGTGTAGCCCAGCACCAGCACCAGATTCCAGGAAGTCTCCTGGCAGACACGAGCTACGAAACAAGTTCTCCGCCCGACACGCGAGTCGAGCCCTGCAGTCGATCTTCACCGGCAATAGCCTGCAATCCTGCGAAAGTCCAACTCAAGCCAAAGTTCCAAGAATGCCACGGGCTCCATTGGATCGGTCTCGGCACTCGTGACAGCGACCTCTTGTGCCTGAGTGCACTCGGTGCACTGTCCAGCCCGTGCAGGCCTGCATCTTGAATTATAGAGTAACCTCCTCATGAGCCACGAGGACACGTGCCCTCCCTTCCGAGGTGTTGGTTCAGGAGACGCGGTGGCGGGGAGCTCGCTTTATCTTCTGGCACGGAGCCATCATGCCGATACAAGACGCTTCGATCATGGTATCCAGTCGGAACCAAGCTGATACCAAATCCGGCCTGCTACCTCCCTCTGATAACACCAATCTTTGGGGTTTACGGCAATCACTCCCCATCGGGTGCGGGGAGTAACAGGACCCCGTTCTGGGGAATAACAAAAACTATTTCGGAAGGTCGTAACCGGAACGGGGGATAGTAGAAACAGGAACCAACCCGGCACTGTAACAGGAACTGTCCAGGGAAACCCAGCAACCGAAACTAGGTTGGAAGTCTTGGAGGAAGTCTTGTCAGGGGGGACCGGTTTTCGGTCCTCTTCTTTGACAGGTTCTCACACGTACGCCTCCCAATCCACATCCACAGACGCGAGCTTTTGGAGCACGGACTGCCAGAGGAGATCGAAGAGAAAAGGATTGACAGTGCACGCTGTCAATCAATGACACAATGCTTGCCACGAACTTCTTCAGGTCCGGTGCGACGGCGAACTGCCTGAAGTTGGTGGCGTAAGCATCTTTTGGACGCCACCTGCGAAAAAATAGCTGCCATGGCCAGGCGGCCTGCGCCCGTGTCGTCCCAGTGCATCTGACAGGCAAGCAAGCAGACATGAACTCACGTAACACATGTCCCTCAAGCCGTATCCTTTCCTTGACCGACCCTTGCTTCTGCATTCGAGGCGCCTCTTGCAGTGAAAAGTTGAGGTCGATGTCGCGAGCGGCATACCAATCCCTGATGGTCTTCAACACCGACTTCAACCCTTCGCCATCTTCCTTGGGTGTCATTGTTCAGCTGTAAGCATCGGAAATTCGGGACTAAGGTTCCTGTGGTGCTACATGACATGGCATGTTGAAGACGTCTCAGAGGGATCGGAAAGCGGTTCCTGTCTTGTAAGCCAACAAGAGTAGGCGGAGGCTACAAGAGTCAGTGTGGGAGCTCCCCGGTGGTTCCTGTTACAGGGGAGAGGCCGGTGCTATTACAGAAACCCGCGGTTGCTGATACGGAATCCCTGCCCGTTCCCGTTACGGGTTCCGGTTACGGTCAACCTGTTCCCGTTACGACAATCACTCCCAATCTCTGCCTGGATGCCGCTGCGTCTTCCGCCCAAGCCTCCCGTACAACAGGCACGACCTCGCGTCGAAGGATGCTTCACGTTAACTGACCCAAGCCACGGTCTACCTCAAGCCTCAGGAATGTCGGCAAAGCACAGGGACAAGATCACTTTGCTCGGGTTCACCTTGTGCGCGGCCTTTGTTCGACTCTTCGTCCTGGTTGACATCCTGCCGTTGTGAAGCGCAATGGCTGGAGAATTCTGGTGCATTTACCTTCGAGGGTGGAGTGCTTCTTGTCCTTTAAGTCGTGCTCTGCACTTTGTTCTTGTGTTGGTTGTTTTCCTCGGGTTTCGTAGGGAACCCATACAGGGAAGGCCAAACGAAAATGAGGGTAAATTTGGAAGGACTTTGATGGCAACTCATGCCGTGCCAGTTGCATTAGTTCCGTCCTTGTTACTTCCATTCAAATCCTTCTTCGCTTTTGAGTTTCCGCTTTCCTTCCTTCCTCTGCTTCTGCCTTCCTTCGTTTCTTTCTTTTCAAGCTTTCTTTGCTCCCTGTCTTCCTTCCTGCCTTCCGCCCTCCCCCCCCCCCACCCCTTCCGCCCCACCATCCAAAAAATAGCCAACAAAAACAAAAACTCTTAACCATATCAGACTCGTTGCATCAGTCTCAAAAACTTCATGCACGAAGCCGAAGCTTTGCCTTCGTTCCCACGCTAGGAAATTAAAGGTGCAGCAATACATGCCGTGTTTGGGTGGGTTGCTAGAGCTCGAGGTGAGGGAATCAAGGTATCTCGAAGCTTCCCAAACGGAGACTCTTTATTGACCGTTCCAATCCGGACCGGGAGCTTGCCTGCAACAACGCGGGCCTCGGCTGCAAGCGCTGGAGCTGTGCCTGTGCAGCAGCATTAAGGAGTGGGCAGCCAGCTATGTGCCTTCCTCATCCTTCCTGTCAACCCGATTTCACGCAGAAACTGAGGTCGCTCCAAGAGTCTGACTCACAGCAGGATGAGTCAGACTTGTGGGTGCCTGTCCGACGGCATTGGCCCTAGTGTTGTTAGGCTAGCCTGCTCCAGCTCAAGCACCTTGTCAGCGTGGCAGCGGCTACACGTTAGATGAATCAACGCTGCCCTTCTCGTAGTGTAAGTTTGTTAGTTCTGCAGCACGCAAAGAATGTTGACCATGCCGAATTCTTGTCGTTCTGACCATGGTACAACAATAATGTCCCGTCCCTTCCAGGGTCTTACCTCCCCACGCTGGCCAGGTTGGGCCTCAAAGGCATCGAGCCGAATCGATTGGACTTTCAGACCCTGCGCAAGCTCTGCTTTGAACTCCTGCAGCGGCTCCACATTGCCAGCCGCCCAGAGACGCCCAGAAGCGCTCAATGAAGGGACACATCGAGAAATGAGCGTGAGCAAGAGCGACAGTGAACAGCGAACAACACACTGCAACTTTCCGAACCTTACTCATGTTTCCGATTCTAGTCCTCGCGCATTCGCCGTTCCAGATTTGCAATGTTCTTCTCTAACCTCAGGAGCGCTTAACATCGGATGATTCTTGATGCAGCGAATGAACCATCGAGCACGAGTTGCGGAAACAGGATGAAGCATGCTTATGAGGATATTCTAAGCCCACTTTCGCGCCCAGAAATCAGCAACTAAAACCGCCGTATAGCTTTTGTCCAGGAGCTTGGAGGCCGACATGCCACAACAGCAGCGGAAGCGCAAAACTGCGACACCGTGCTTGCACTAGAGCAAATTCCCTGAAACACTGCTGAAGTCCAGGAGATTCCAGGAGCCAGAACCTGATGAGCTGCCACGTTCATCCTCAAGCCCCTGCACTCTAGACTCTAATTAGGCGTCTAGGCTCGATGAGAGTTTAAGGAAACCAGTCCCAGCTTGTGACTTCGATCCAAAATGGCTGCAGGCCTCCTTCAGTAGACGTCATCAGCCTAACGGAAGGCAAACTGCAAAAACAGCTGCGCGAAATGTCAGTTGCGAAAGCTGAATCGATCGGCTCGAACTGTCCTGAACGTCATACTCCTGCAAGGCCAAGAAAGTTGGCTGAATGGCATCGATCTTCTCCAGGATTCTGGGACCTCGAACCTGGCGAAAATCCCACAGAAGCCCTTGCAATGCCCCAGCTTGAGGTACCTTGCAGGATGATCTGTACCAAACCTGAAGCCAAGAGAGATGCCTTCACAAAGACAAAACCCCTAATTGATAATGGTGGCTCCCACAAGCCGCAGAACATCGCAACAGTACATCCTCCGCCCCTTTACCCCAGATACCGTTTCGCAAAGGCGGGCCTGCCACGCCCTCGACTCCGATTGGACTCTCTGCAGTGCTGCATAGAGTATCTCACAACTGACCTCGCGAGCAGAGACAAGCAGCCGCATTGCGAGGTTACGTTGACTCGCACAGCCTCTCGGTCTCTCTCGCATTCCACAAGCGGCCTGGCCTCGTCGAGATGCTGACGCGCAACTCTGAGGAATGTCTTGCCACCGTCCAGGGTCACCGCATCCTCAACCTGCTTGGGCCGCAGGATGCCGCAGGCCCACCAGGAATATTTCCCAACCCCCCCACCCGAAGCAGCCACAGGCGCAGTGGGGCCCCACAGTTATGCTTCAGTACAACTGAGCAAGCTCGTTGGGCAACATCTCACCATACCCTGCCCCTCGACCTGTTTGCTGAATATTCTCCACAGCATGAAGTAGGCGCACCGAGGAACTTAGCTGGAGTGCAGCTTATGACTTTCGCTCGCTGTACTAAGGCACAGCTCATGCCAGACTGTGGACCGTTTGCATGGCTTTTGCCTTGCATCGACCACCTAACGCAAAAGGGGCTCAAGATGGTTCAAAGCAGGACTGGTCAAACTATGTGTACCTTTGAGCTCGGTACTCGGGCATGCTGAAGTCGAAGACACATCAGACTCTACATCAAACCAGCTCCACAACCAGCAAGCCTTCTTAACGAGCACTTCCAAGCGCTGGAAACTATTTTTTAACGAGCCTTTATCTCATGTACCGGATAACACGGCATTAAATGTTGCGGAGCCTGCACGCTGTCGAGCTTCCAGCCTTCATTAGACAGCTTCGTGAGGTCTTCCTTGTCCCAAAGTCCTCACAGGAGTCGTGAACAAGTGTTGCTTTGTCGGACTGCTGACAAATGCCGAAGGCAGACTGCACGAGATCGGAGTCCTCGGGACTTGATCCTCAGCCCCTGCCGCGAAAGGGGTGCGCAAGCGATCACTCAACGAATCATTCGACACAGCCTCCGGATCGACGATCCAGGTCTTCATGGGGTGCCACTTCCTGTACTCGTCGTTCAAAGCCTGGCAAAGCCAAGTCTTTCTGGGGTTGCACCAGCGAAGCCCGGCCTTCGTCAGAGCAGGCCATTTGACTTTCCAGTCCTCTCGAGAGCTTTCAGCAAAACTGAGACATACTGAGACAGCTGAAGCTTCCCTCGACGGAAGCAGCAGGATATAGCAATCCAGTTTCATGCCATGCTAAGGCAAACAGTGCCGTGCTCCGCGTGTCCTCACCAAAAACTTGCATCAGGGTCTCCGCGGAGGGCTCCTGATGAATGGTAAGTAATAGTTTGACTGTGCGTGAGGCGGCATCCGACTTGTGGCAACTGAGTGTTACGAGTCTGCCAGTGCAAAGAGATGAGCCAGCATGCTACACTGACCAAAGCTGCCCGCAGAATGTCCCGACGATCTCCTCCATTGTGCGGGGAACCAAATTCGAGGAAAGCTCGTCTGCGAGAATATTATAGGTCATGACCTTGGTTAGGAACATGTCTCCGCCAGGCTCTCCATGTGCCAAAGCTTTGCTGCCAATCCGAGACACCGTCAATGCAGCGGGTGTCATGCCCGGCTTGGTTAATTCCGACATCTTGGCAGGGCTGTAGAAAAGGCCACGGGGCGTGTCATACGGAGATGTGGCTATGGGACTAGTGATGCAAGTGGCTCGAACCTGGGATGTGGCACTCGACAGACTACATCCGTAGCACTGTTGCGCAATGGACTTGCCGATGTGCTGCGGCTGAGTGCATCTGAGGGCCATGACAGCTGTTCGGGTACAGAAAGGCACAGAAACATTTCGTCTCCAAATTGTCAAGCATGGTGTTACCAGTCTGATCCAACTACCTCTTGTTTCTGGTCATTCCCAAAGTTTCCTTAGCCTTACGCCTCGCAAGAAGATATTCCCGCACGGGACCTGTCCACATCGCGGGAAAGCACAACCAAGTCCTGCAGATCGCAGGCACGCTTACAAAGCCACTCCTCAGACAACATGGTAACTAACTACCTGTGTCGTATCGATTCCTGAGCCTAGGACACCGGAGCGTCGTTTGATCCCATTGTCGCAAAAGGTCAGGCGGGAAGGGCTTTGGCGTTGCCTCGTCGCTGTGCACCGTCGTCACCCGCAGGGCCAGATGCTCGAGCTGCGCATCGACGATGATGTCCTGGCCGGGGGATGAACCTACTATCTGAAGCCGATGACAAAGGAGAATCGTGCATGTGCATGCTGCAAGCATCTGAAACCGCTTCAACATTGATGTCTGAAGGGCGCACCCTGAGCCTAATCTGCCGTCAATGGGACTTTACAGTTTGACCCGCGAGGCAGTCCTGGGGCAGGCCGTCCGCCTGCCACAGCAACAGGACTCAGTTTGGACGACTGTTGAGGAGATAGAGCTTGCGAGCTTGAAGCCTGGCGAAACCTGGCCCCCTGTTGTAACCGTTAGAAGTTCTGCAAGACTCAGCAGGATGGAGCAGGGAATCTGTCCTCCACTGAGGTGGCTGGAAGCGTGCCCCGCCTTAGTTAAGGCAGTCGTCGACGAGCCGCTAGACTGGACATTCGCAACCATGTTGGAATGACTCTGCAGTCCTTTGCACAGAGACCATTAGCTCATGGCAAAAGCAAGGGCACCTCATAATCATAGCAGTCAAGGAACAAGTCCAAAGAGGCGCCTTTGAGAATCAGGCTCAAACCAGGCCTCCGGCACTTCGCAGTCTCGTGACCCCACTTCCCGCCCGAGTGATTGCCATGCACGTGGACAGGTCTCGCCGGAAGAGTTGCAGACAAAGGCTTCACCACCAGTGACGTGCCGAGTGGCTGGTCAGGCCGCTTTACCGAAGTGCAGGAGGCGGCCACAGATGGGACCTTTCCAAGTCCGGGTCTCACATGTCTCATCATGACCATGCGTGCTAATTGCAGTGGCAGACCCTTTCAGCCCTTGCGCAATGGTGCTGATCGGTTCTATGTCATGAGAAGGCGCGTTGCTGTGTGCTTTTCAGGTCCGATTCCAGTCTTGTCATGGGTCAGATCATGAGAAGGAGGCCGAACGTCCAAGGCGATGCATGGCGTGGCGAAATCAAGACGACGCAAAATGTCTCCAACAGCCCTCCGATGACTTGCCCACCTCCCACCAACAAACCACCTCCCTGTCTTGTATAACACAGTTGCTCCTTCTAAAGCACATGTAATCACCCGGCTGTAGGCCATGCTTCTGCCTTAGCTCAACATGTTTAAATGTTTTGCCGAAAGAGCGGACGCGGCACTTTTAGCACTCCGAACTCGCCGTCGGAAAGGTTTTGAGCCACGTAGGCCGAAGAGTCTCTTTGGATCACCAGGCAGAGACTTTCTCTGCCGCCGCTCCACCACCACTGGCAGAGACGGCTTGCCAGGAGCGCGCCGGAAGAGTTTGCAGAGCAGAAGGTAGAAAGGCAGCTGCGCCCCGAACCTTGTTTCGAGAGGAGGAGCTGAGTGCGGGCAAAATGGAAAGTGCCGCAACTTCCTGCAGGTAGTAGCCCAAAGTGCCTTGATGCTTCAAATGCATCCTCCACTGAACCTCGTTCAGAGCTTCTCCGCCACCTCTCAACGCGCCAGGAGGCAGCCCATGGGCCGACTCAATCATCAAAGCTTTTAACATCGCATCCCATCGCCGCCGGTACATGCCAGGGGAGCCTTCGTAGAGGGCTCCTGCGCTTGAAAAGTCGAGATGATGAAAAACCAAAACAAAGTCCGGGCCTTTAACTTGTGCGTGTTGCACGGTCGGTCGTCTGGTCTTCGGGTCGTTGATTCCCAGGAAGATGGCAGTCAAGGTTTTATACAAATCGTTGGGCGTAAATGGGCGTAGGCAGTTACTCTCTAAAGGCCAAAACCTTAATTACGTGGCTCGGCAGGGGTAAGAGTGTTTATTTTTGTTGCTGTCGTTTCTTTTTGCTGTCGTCCCCGGGGGCGTTTTTTTGTTGCTGTCGTTGCGGGGGCGCGTGTTTTTTTTGCTGTCGTCCCCGGGGGCGTTTTTTTGTTGCTGTCGTTGCGGGGCGCTTTTTTTGTTGCTGTCGTTGCGGGGGCGCGTTTTGTTTTTGCTGTTCATTCACTGGCTTCCTGGGTCCGCGCAACAACAAAAAATAACATAAAGCAACTACAGCAAAAAACACACACGGGTTCCGCTCGCCTGGACGACAAATCGCATAAACTGCCGGGAGGGCGATGGCCGCCCACCTTCGCAATCACCAAAGCACCGCCAGCGAGCACGGCAACTCCCGAACTTCTCTTTGTGCGTGCTCGACAAGCTGCCGAAACTACGGCAAAGGGGTCCCGGCGTCGTAAAGGTGCTGTGGGAAAACTGACCAGGAGCTTGACCAGCAATTGAGGAGCTTTCACGGCGCCGTCGAAAGAGCCTTGTCCGGCTGCAGAATCGAACCATGATGTAACGAGAGCCCAACGCAGCTGTGGCGGGCTCGACAAGAGAGACCACCACAAGTAGCTGCGGCGCCCGCTCACGTTGGACCCGAGGTCCGGGATTTGAAAAGCCTCACCGGTCCTGAGAGTCCCCGTTCTTGAAATTTCTTGAACACCCAGCGACGTCCAAGCGTCGGTGGTCTCGAGAGCAGGTAGAAGCGTCGCGCATTTTGTTTCGCGAGGAACTTCCAGAAGCTTGTTGGTTTGCTCGGTCCAACTGGTTTTGTCCTCGGTCTCACGTCCGCGCATCCGCGCATGCTCAATTGTCTGGAATAGCCGGAGCGGGTCGTGGAGTCCATGTCGCGGTTGGTGGAGGAAGACTTCTCCGGTCTTCGAGTCGAGCCGGCCTGGGAGGCTCGCAACATCCGGCCAGGATAAGAGGCTGGCCGGGCCCGTGCGATGGTATTGCGATGGTCTTGGGCGGCGGGGATTGCGAATTGCTTGGCGACGGCCTACAGCGAAGCTCGCCCGATGCTTTTTTGCTTTTGGCGGCAGCCGACCAGGCGGCCATCCGAGAGTTCCCTCAGAACTGCCCGAAGCTGGGCTTCGCCAGCGGGAGCGCCTGGAAAACGCAAATCGCGAGCTGGGTTGGCTGCAAAATCTTTGCAGTCTTCAAATGACCGTGGACCATCCGCAGTGCAGCGGGCTGTGGAAACAAGCCGGTTTTGTGCTCCGAGGAGGTGGGCTGGAATGACAGTCTGTTGGATCTCCTTTTCCGAAGCCCTCGGCTCCGATCGAGAGGTCTGCAGGGAAAGCTTCGGTGCGCTGCTTTCCTGCAAAGTTTCAACTATAGGCTGCCGATTTCGACCGCCAAACCCGCAACGATCCAACACCGTCGGAAGCACCGGCGCCTAGACCTTCGGCCCCTGCTTCACAAGCTTCCGAAGCACTGCTGACAGTTCCACGACAGCTCGCTCCACGGCCGGCAGGTTTCGCAGGTCGTCTCCCTCGTCACACCGGCGCCACCAGTGGGAACTTCTTCCTCCTCCGAGGCGAGCTCTGAAAGAAGGCGTAATTAGCCTTCGAGGACACCTGCCCGCCGTGCTTCGGCAACAGACCCGAGGTCCAATCCCGCCGGCACGAAGGCAGGATGCAGGCCCTCAGCGAGGCTCATTCAAGCAGGCAATGCAAAGGAGTCTGCTGGGCAGCCGCCCGAGCTTGCGCACGCACCAACCTGAACCAGCCGTGCCGCACCAAGAACAACAAATCCAGGACCTGCCCCAACCCAACAAGGCCCGCGCAAATCCCCAAGGCCTGGGAATAGAAATCCAACGAGTTTGGGAATTCCAGGAGGACGGCTCGGAGTCAGATGGATCAGCGGAGGCAGGGCAGGAAAGGGAGGAAGGGACAGGTGCTGGCTCAACCCGGAACCGACCCAATTCGGAAAGCAGTGAAATCCCAAGCTTCCCAAACCCGCACCAGTCCCTGCTGCGGCTACTAGCAAAGGCAGCCCTGACGTCATAAACTGAAGTACAGCAATGAACATGTTCATTCATGCATGTTTGGACGCACTCGGGGGACCGCACATCAAAACAGAAAGAACAACTGGAAGCCCTGTTATTTGTAACGCCAACATTGTTTTGGGCGCAAGAAGCGCAGTCGTCTGCAGCTCAACTTCTCGTGAAGGTTTTTGGGCCCAGCCGTGGAATTATTACCTGGGCCACGAAAGAGCCGCAATCAGCACGAGCCTCGTGAAGCACAATGCCTAGCTGTCTTTAGATGGCCTCTTGTAGCACGGGGATTCAAGAAACAAGCTCTTCGTCGATGCTTGCTAGAGTAGTCCTAGTTAAATACGTCCTGCCGAAAGACGCTCTGTGGAACTACACACAAGGCCTGTTAAGATACAAATTGTAGTCATAGACAATGCCGCCCGTCTCCATCTTCAGAAGGATTTAGCGGCTATGAACAATGTAGTGGAGCGAAACGAAGGATGGCGGTTGGAATCCCTGGCTGTCTCTTCCGGGGTTTGAGCGGCCTCCTTTCATCTCCATTCAGTTTCGAATTCAATCGCCCGAAAAGCAAGTGAAGCCTGGCCACAGAAAGAGTGCAAAGGGCACTCTGCAGAGGAAGGATGCGCCATGCACTGAAAGGTGAAGGGGGTGGTTGCAGCCCTAACAGGCTTCAGGGGTTTTCAGAGCTCACAACTCACACGACACTCGGTTTCTGTTCACAGTTTCAACTACTACGTCAAGCCTTTTTGCTCAAGCAGGGTTTCTGTTGTTCACTTGTGGTTTCTGGTAATGCGAGAAATTCAGCAAAAGAAACAGAAACACCCTTAAAGGACCGAGCCGAAAATCTCGCGCCTTGAGGCTCACCGAGAAACGCTGGGGCTTGGTTGCATCGTCTGGTTCCTGCACTTGCCATGCCAAACCGAGGCAACAACTAGAAGCACCTGACGGCAGAAGCTACATATGGTGCTCTCATTACACTTCTTGGACATCGATGGGCACTTCCAAGAGCATTGAGAAATTATTCACGCGCTGACCAATGACCGACAAGCACTGGCTCACCAGTCTATCACCGAAGCTGCAATACCACAGCTTGCAGACTCGCAAAGATGCGTCACTGGCTGCTCTTGTACGGAAAGGCACGGCAGTCCTCCAGGAAGGCATCCAAACTTATTGCCTGCCAAGTATCTGACCCATCTACGCACAAACTGTGCAAACGGAAAACACCGCACCAAAACGGTCGTTTCGACAATTCAACAGCGGAAATCTGTTGAGGATACTCCAAGAGCCTCGTCCTCTGAACGGGTGGCCAAAGCTTTAGCACGAACCTGGCAGCAGCCCACACTGGCCCAACCGCTCCCCTCTGCTTTGATTTTCGACCTGACACCCTAAAGCGTAAGATATGCAGGATTATGCAGGCATGCAAGGTGGGCTTGCAGAAACTCGAGCAACTGTGGGTGTTCAACTTCACACGCCGCAACAATTGCTGGCGAAAGCGATGCTTCTGTGCAAGACTCCGGCACCTGACATTCCGCCAACCAAGCCACCGATGCAACAGCCTCGCTACACAAGTGGGGTACTTGAAGGCAGTTGGAAGCTAGTGGCTATGCTGCTACATGGTCACCTGTCACTGTGAGATTGAGAGCTGTAGTAGAGCTGGGAAATGCCGTTCCACTCACCTTTTTCCTCGCTAATCTTGTGAGCAGAACATAGAATGCATCCAGTGTTAGGGTTTGAACATGATTGAACCACTGGTCCAGCACAGGTGGCTTCCCGGATCGAAGGACGTGGCATCACCCCTTAGATTCTTACATGTGCAATGATGTGCAGCCCCGGCGTGATGGCCCAACGGCGCCACATCGACCCAAGCATCTTTGGATCAAAGCAGAATACCACAAAATACCACAGTCCCGAACCACATACCACACTACCAATAAAAAATTTAACTCAAAATCAAAACAATTTTACAGCAAGTTGAGTGGAAGCTGCACTGCCGTCCATGATTACATGATGTGCTGGGACCCTATCCGCCCGCCGGCAGCCGCCTTGCATCGATGAGCATCAGCTGGGGCAACACCAAAATCATTTCATCAGCAGGGGGTTGCCCATTCGCCTTCCCTCCTTCCCCCCACGCTGAGACCGAGCATCATCAGCATCAGCCGAGGCTGGGCCACATGGGCCACCCCAAAATCAAAGAATCATTAACGGAGTCTGTTCTTGTCTTTGATTCACCACCTCACCGTGTAACCCCTCACCCCCACCCTCACCCCCTCGCCCTCAACCTACCACCGCACACCACCAAAGTTCAGGGACACGTTCTGTTTCTGTGTGTGTTTTGCTACCCAGTAGGAAAACGGCCGCCAAGCAGAACATACTCCTCAACTTTTGCAGGGAGCTGGTGACGGGGGCGGGCCGGGGTTTGGTGGGGTCCTACCCCCGGGATGTGGCAACGGTGAGTGGGAGTGGGTTCTGGGGGTTTTGCGGGTGGACACGCAGATACAAAATGCTCGGACCCTTGAATGCAGGGTCTGGACACTGTCGACATCTGCACCAGTGTTTAACTGTAAATGTTGTCGACATCTGTGCCGATGCGTAAACGTGAGCTGTGTTTTGTGATACCTTCGGCGCAACCCCGCAAGAGCCCAAAAACCCGAGTACGAATTTCGAGCCACCGCCTTCCGCAGCCCTTCCGCGTCCTTCCAGCAGTCCCCAGAGATGTCCAATTCGAGCGAATGTTTTGTGTCCATGCCTCTACAGGCTGAAGACATGTATACCTGAGAACATGTGGCCGGAATGTCCACAATCACTAAGGTCTTGCCGGGCCGTGGAAGCGAAAACGTGCTTGCACAAGGGCCGAAGATGGCCGAAGTGGAGACTGAAAGATGCTCAAGATGCTGGGGAGTCCAGAGACAGCACCTCCCAAAACATGCTCGAGGTATGGCATGCGTTCCGATACGTTGCGCCCTTGTTGCCTGAAAACAGGACACAAGCCCTGCGCCATCTTGCTGGAACAGAGATAACAGGGCCAGCGCAGATGGGAGATTGGGAGATTGGAGCGGTTCCGGGCCTCGATGAAGTGGCGCTGGGCCAGCTCCTCGCGTGTCGGGCTCTCCAGCTTCAGCAGCTCCTGGTAAGCCTCACACAAGCGCGAGCAAGCATGCAGCAGCATGCTCATGCGCTCTTTTGCAGTCGCGCACCCTCCAAAGGCACCTCGGGCGTCACTCTCGGGGCTGCAGGGAGCCTTTCCAAAGCCTGGGTGCCAAAGAGGCGCCGCTGCGGTGCACTCTGCTGTGCAGTCACACGCTGATTCCGTCCATATCCGTCCTGTACCCTAGGAGCTCGAGCTCCACACTGACGCGCGGAGGGCTGATGCACCGGCGGCCGCCCCTTGAAGGTAGGCCTTTGAAGTGATTTCGTCATGCGCATACTCTGCCGTGAGGGCTATCCGTGTGACTCTCGTTTAGGCTTGAGTTCGTGCTCGCCAACCTAACAAGGGTCTGCCCTCTGAAAAAGAATGCAAAAAAAGCGTTGCTAGTTGTCGAAGACACATCCACCAGGTCCTTGATCACCTGCAAAGCACCGGCACGGCGAAGTATAACTAAATGTTGTGTACATCATCATGGTGAGATTTGCCCTGCATGCTGTCACGCCGGCCCTGCAGCAACGCCATGCCATGTGTGCTTTACTCGATCTGAAATCACTTCGGAAGCCAAAAGAAAGCCACCAGAGACTCTCACTGATTTGTCTCTGAAGCTGTTATGCAACACCGCAGTATGCAAGATCAACGCGTGACAGCACGAATCGGAAAACTCACGTTCATCTGACTGTGCCGTCTGCACCTGCACTGCGCCAGGGCTGGCTGCCAGAGAAGGCTGCACCCCGGAAGCCTGCATCTGCTCTTGCCATCGCTGACTGAACCATGCAACAATGCAAAATGGCCCAAGCCCTCACGCGCAAGAAGCAGACTTGAAATGTACGACCCCCCCGGCTGCGCCTCGCTGAGAACAATGTTGAGTCGGGCACTGTCCTCTGGAGCTTCGCATCGTCTTGCGTCTGGTGGGGGGGGCACTGCACCGTGGTAGATCACCCGCCTACGGCAATGGACGGCCTTGGCAACCAGTACATGTTAGCTCCTCGTGGTCATCGCGAGCTGCTTCCTCGCGTCCCGCACCTGCGCAACAGATGAAACACGCCCACGCACGCTGGCAGAGACATGCAGCAAATGCCTGAGCCCAGGGTGGCCGACAGTCCAAGGTGTTGGAGCAGAGGTGCAGCACCGAAGCCCCAGGTACCTGCAGAGCTTGGCGCCTATAGCACGGTATGCAAGACAACCCTCCAAAGCCAAGAAGGTCGCAAGTAAGTAGAATAGGATCCTCGGGCCTTCATACTAGCAATGGATCAGCGCTGTACGGAGACTATATCTCAATGGTTGTATTCAGGGGGCTATTACAATTGAAACGCTAGTGGACTCTAGGAGAGACTGGTCGGCCCCGTGCGAGACGCGTGCGTGAAAGATGCTTACCCAGGTGTAGGTGAGACAACAAGACTTGGATCTCTCGTTCGTTTGATCCTTATCTCGGCATATCTCGGCCAGGCCCCGCAAGCCACGATGATCCACAACTGAAGCGCCGCAGGCCCCGCCCTCGCCTCCAGTGACTGAAACAAGTTCAGCCGTAATTCCTTCGAGATTGACCTTGGCGAACACCGCAACTTGTTATTCTCATCTCATGCGCAAGCTGCCCATCCGGGGGCCAAGCTTCTGTTGATCCTCCCAGGCGGTCCCGATTGACGGCCAGCTTTGCGATGCCTGGAAGGAGCCGCAGCTGCACCAAATGCACAGGCATCCACAGGCCCTTCAGCTGCATGATGCTGCATGCCACATCATGCCACCAAGTTGCGCAGTGAGATTCCATGACCAGTGCGGTCTGTGCGCAACTCTAGCTGCACGTCCTTCACATCCACCTGGAAGGTTTCAGTCACAGTGCTCGCTCTTTATTTACATCCGAAGAACTTTCCTTGCTTGAGTCCACCTCCCAGCGGCTCTGCATCTCTGGAACGAGCTTGCTTCGCATGGCCCGACCAAGTCGTCGCCACGCAGGTGCTGAAGCGGGGGCCACCTGGCGAAGCTTGGCTTGGCCTCTGCCTCTTCGAAACTGTGTTTGTAGCCCCTTTTTTTCCGGCCGCGCTGCCTGCACCGTCAAGGGCGGACCCTCTTCCCCACCCCTCAAGTTTGCATGTGGATGGCGACCTTCAAGAGGTCACGAAACATGCAGTGACTCTGTTTCGAGAGGCTGCACCTGAGCTTGGCACTAGTGAAGCAGTATGAACTAGTGAAACCTCACGTTATTCAAGGTGCCCGGTTTACTTGCCGTCGTTCAATTTCAAGCAGGAAACACCTCATCGATGACGGAATCCGTGCAAGAAACAAGAGGCTTCTTAGGCCAAGTCCAAGTATATCCTATATCCTACGGCTCTGAATCTCGAATTAAATCTCCGAGTGGGCACATTAATCTACACCTTTCCTTCCACAACAGCAACGGACCTTGCTTTGCAAGAACGGAACAACTAGGACAGATGGCAGGAATGGTGCCTAGGTCTGCTGCGCTGCAGATGTGGCCACATCAATTAAACAATCGCTCATCTTCGGCGTCTCCAGTGGCATTCCTCTGGTGCACAAAGCTCCAATGCAACTGCCCCGGTTTTGAAGTCTCTGATGTATACGGTATACTACTTGTCCAGAACATGCCAGAGCTGCGGCATGACAAGCGGCAAGCTGCGTGTATCAGGATTCTATGGACAGCACAATGTACCAAATCCATCGGAGGTGCTGGTCAAAGAAGTCGTCAAGGTCGTCGCTCTGCTCTTCATCCTCCGGGTTGCCTCGGTCATCTCGCTTAAAAGCGTTCGAGCAGGCACTGCGAACACACGCGAGTGAAAAGTCAAGCCGGTGATCGGGGCATCAAGATCAGACCGAACTCCTCTGCAAGAATCGCAAGAACACAGCCGATCTGACAAGCTCTGTTTCGCGGCCAGCTGTTACGGAGCAAATTATTCAAGCAAGAGCTGTGCAAGAACGGGTCCGTTGGCTCCTGTGTGGTTGGCATGGATTGTTCAGGAAGCTGCTGTGTACTCCATGCAGCATGTTCCTGTGCTGTCATGTGAAATCTCGCCAGTGAAGGAGCAGCCCGCCTGCATTCGTTGATACTTGGGTTTTTTTCAGTTCTCCCCGTCAACAGCACTCGAATTCTTGACTTGCAGTCAGAGTCCACCATGTTTTGTCTTCCAAGACATTCCATCGCATGGCACGAAGAAACGTAAGCGTTGCTTGTCGGGGGGTGTACACGCAGGAAGCTTTGTCCTGGGGATACATCTCTAAGTTACTTGTAATCAAGACTGATCATCGCGCAAGACAGCAGAACGGCTTGGACTTAGACTTCATAACTTGAGTTCGGAAGCTGATTGCCCGTAGGTTTTATTTCTTATGTTTATGGGACCTATGGGAGTGGACTCATGTCCTTATCTTACACCCTGTCCTCTCTGCCGTCGTCATCTCCCCGACATGTTTCAGATTGCATGTAAGACAGGCAAACGCACAATGCTGAATGCAGGGTTCTGCTGAGTCTTTGCACCCAGCTGCTTGTTTCGCTCTGCTTCTCAGTGATGCGACACGGCATTTTGCTTACACTACTAATTCTTCACTGGGAAAGCGCTCCGGCTGATACGTTTCAGTTCTGCCGAGATTCTGTCTGTCAATGTCGGGGTCCAATTGACAGATGACACCTGGCATGCTTTTGCAGGGACGAGATGCTTCAGCTGCAATCTGCTTAGGCCATCTGTGACGCACAGAAAACTCCACAGGTTTGGCTGAACCTTGGGCCAACAAGCAACTGTGCACCCTTCAATCGCCTCCGTTGTCTCGTCCTCCATATACTGCAGCGGGCGATCGGTCGACATGAACAGAAACGGCACCACAAATGCCTCGATTGAGATCTGCACGATCAAGCCTCAGAGAATCAGTGCTCGAGGCCCTGGACACGGAAGACGACGTGACAGAAGACAAGAAAGAAGCGAATAAAGGCGACCAGGGCAACTGATTCTGGAAGGCTCCGCGTGTTCGTAGCGCTGCTCGTACTCGTATGCGCAGGGCAAGCCCGAGTACTCAAATGTGTAGATCAGGTTGGAATGGAGCTGCGACCAGCCACGACTGTCACTGCAGATGGGACCTTTGCTATCCGACTACTCACAAACGGTCCTGGAACACTTTTGCAGAACACGCTGCTTTCCAAATGCTGCTGCCACACATGCTCGTCGGACAGCTGCAACTGTAGATGCTCTCAACTTTGCTCTTAATGAAACAATATAAATAATGTGCGTTCTCATGACGGCATATTGATGGCTGTGGAATGCTGTGGAGACACGCAGAGAGTGTGTTCGATGGAGGCAGGGACGGGAGGGAAGGTTGACTCCGACGCACAGGAAGGCCGAGAGGATCCAAGAGGCAGGTGCTTTCGTCGTGGTTATCGGAGAGCTCCGCTTGCGCAGCGAAGGCTGCCCATTGACACCGGTTCGTCCCTGGTAGAAGCCTTGACATGAGAATCATCAGAACAGGCGCCTTTGCAAAGAGTACTGGCGAAATGCTGCACCTGCCATATCACATAAATTTCGAGCTGACTGACGCCACCGGTCCAGAGTAGAATGTGAAACGTGACCTCGCCTCAAAACTGGGAGAAGCGAATCAAACACTGCAGCCTCTCGCCTCTGGGAGCAGTAGCCACGCCGACATCCAAGAAATTTGACCGCAACGCCCTTCTCGAGAGAGCTTCTCCTCAACTCGGACAGTTAGCTACTCGCAGGTCCGACTTTATCGAGAGAGAACCCGTTTTCGATGAGCACGGGACGGAGTTCAGAAAGCAGTGCCGCAAGCTCTCACCACGTTACGATTTCATATTCGCAGCGTGCATTCCACCGATCCGGATGCAACTAATCCTGGACCAGCAATAGCGGGCTGTAGCACCACCATGAATGCACATACCCAAGTCCAAACCTGTAAACCCGAAGTTCCGAATTCGCCCACAACGCTCAAAAAACATATTGAACGTCCACTTGTCGAGGTCCGGAGCAGCCTGAAATTCAGACTACTTGGCAGTCTTGCTGCTATCGATCCCCCTCGACATAGGTATTTGCATGGATCCAATGAAAGATCAAAACAATTGCCAGCAACACGAACCCATGCGTGCTGCTGCCTACACGCATTCAAACCAGGCTCATGCGTTGGAAGGCCACAAGTGCCTGTTGATCCAAAAGGACCTGGCGAAGGGACGGAAGGTTGGAGTGTTTCCAGGCATTCTGGAAGATGGAGGGGGAAGGTAATCATAGATATTTGACTATGTTTGTACTTCCACTTCCACCTGCGAGGCTCGCACCACTTCACATGCATGGACTGAAAATCAAGGTACTTAAGCGGAATGATGTGGACGAAATTGGCACTGCGGCACTGCCCAGCAGTAACTGCAAGTCCACCCAGGGTTTGTTAAGCAAATGTTGCTGCTACTAAGAGTCGGGCTGCAAACCAAGCCAGCCCCTTCAGACCAATATCAACTTCAAACTGCCAGAGCGTGTACTCTCTGTGCGCACCCCATCTAGGCGGTGAAGCTGGCCGCTCTCCAGCAGCAGCTGACCGCGCGCTTTCAGGGCCGCAGGAGTGTTGACCAAGTTCCTTGGTTCAAACAATGTGGAGACAACATAGGATTTTAAGACCTGAAAGACTTCTGAATGTTAATTCGGCACGGTTTCCGAACCTGTGGCTCTGCGAACTGCTGGACAGGCACTGGATGTCTTTTGTGAGATTGTGTGCTCTCACGCTCGGCCGACATGTCCAAACTAGCAAACCTTGCAACTCAAATTCTCCTGACAAAGCTCCCGGCAAAAACTGTCTCAAGAGGCACGCCATTCTGGGAGGACTGACGCTCCGTGTTGCTGCGGGCCTTGCCAGGTTGGGCAACGCTTGCGTCAGACACGTTGGGCTCAGAAAAGATGTCGGGCCTTGCAGCTCGAATCCACAAGCTGTCGACCCTCCCCCGCCTCTCGGTTCCAACACACAGGCACCTGGTCCAGAAGGGAATGGGCAAACCTGTCAGCTTCATGCTCTTGGCAGAGATATTCTGGATCTAACTGCAACAGCCGCGAGATTGGAGACTGGCTAGAATTCGTGATCCCTGGTCTCAGCTCGTGCCTTACACATGACGCCCATGCCCGGTGAAGTGCTTTGCACTCGTCGCAGTTCCACTTGGCCTTTCCAGCAACTCGCGTGCTCACCTCGATGCAAGAGCACTTTCGTACAGCCAAAAAGGCGCCCGAACACACTGCCAAGATTGCGACACGAAGCAGTGAAGGCTCGGTGCAATTGAAGAAACCCCCACCCAATGCGATGCAGTGCACTCACCCGAGGAGCGTACAGTGACAGCACTGATGGAGGCCGCCCAGGAGCGTTCCTGAAAGCTTGGCTGGTCGGCCACGTCTAGCGGCGTGAACCAGGAGCAGCTGGTGGCGTGAAACGCGGCCGCGGCCTGCCGAAGGGGTTGTAGGGACCTCCACCAGCAGACAGCTCTCCGCCGGCTTGTCCCCAGCAAGTTGGCAAAGGCCAGTGCAGCCTGCTCCAGCTGAGCCACAGTCTCATCGGGCAGCATCGACATGCAGCATCTTAGGATGTCGGCAGAAAAAAGCCGGACACCCGGCACCACGGCATGAACCACAGAGTCACGTGCCGCATGCACGGCGGGTGCCCTTGGCCTCGTCGGTAGCTGAAGTAATCTGCGAAGAGCAGAGCTCCAGCGGCAAGCGCAGCGCGACCCAGCCGCGAGATACAAGCGAGACACCGCCCGAATGCTGCAGCAGTCATTGATGATGCAGAATAAGCGAGCTCCAATCTGTGCGGCACTGAGGCCGTGCAGAATCTTTCGGTGAACGTATCCTCGCCACTGCACCTCCTCAAAATCAAGAAGGAATGCCAGGATTTGATCCAGCACGCTGGGATTTGCGATCGAAGGCACTTTTGCCGTTGGCTTCCAAATGCGGACATTTGGCGCAGGCTCGGGACCAAGAACGGCTTCCCAGCGACCGAGGGGCGACGGTCCGACGCACCGATACCTGGCACTGGGCATTGGTGAGCCATGGGGTGGAGCGAAACCGCTTCAGTCTACTCTCCGGCACAGTAAACTGGGGCTGATTCACACGAACTTCGACAGCCATCGATTGCTTGAGAAATAGAATGGCTACTGGATGCCTATCGCATGCTGTCTCGCTCTCGACTTGGCCACGTGGCAGGAGCTGCGTGTCGCCCTCTGGGCGCGGCTTCAGCCCAGAGTCAGCCACAGCGTGCTCCAGCCTTGGAAGCTTTCGTGGCCTAGAGATGCCTAGAGCCTTGAGACTTCGCATGGCTTCTCTTTGCCCTCGTTTCCCGTCTCGATGCCATGCAGGGGGACTAGAAGTTGAAACCTCACTTTGAACTCGACTTCAGCTGAGCGGCTAAGCGACTCAGCATGTCCGGCGCATGCTTTGGGATTGACTAAAATGACTTGGCCAGTTGATCGTGTGAGGTCTGGGGCATTCAAGCGCAAGCCGCGTAACTGGTACAGGTGGCAGTCCAAGGTCCAAAGGTCGGCGAAAAGACACCAGCCACCCAAGTGTCGACAGAAGGCTAGAACTGCCGCTCCTTTGGCATGGACCTGCACGCATCGGATTTCGGGGCGGTAGGCACCTCTGAATTTCCAAACTCAGCTTCGGGGACATGCCAGGTTCTGCAGAATGCAGTGGTTACGATTGTCGGACCTGCTCCCAGCCACTCTGGGCTTCAGCCCAGTCTGGTGACACCGGCCAAAACTTGCCCTCGACCTGAGGAAGGCAGGCTTGTGGGAGGTCTCGTGTTCTTCGAGTCTTGAACCTCTGATGCACTTGATCGGAATCTTCACCGATGGAGGCGGTTCGCGCCTGGCCTGGTCGCAGAAATCAACCCACAGGACGTCCCGCTCGTGGCTGTGAGGCTGAGATGAGAGTCGAGCCGGCACCTGCAGACAGAGAATGCAGGCCGTTATGACATATACAGATACAGGGACGACCATCTTCATCCATGCTGCATGAGTTACCACACTTGGCACTGCTGCTTGCGCGGCAGTCCTGTTGCTCGCATCTAAGACTCCAAGACTCCAGACTCCTGACACAAAGGGGTGGTGCTCTCGGATCGCCGTAACGAGCCAGTACAAGTCTGTTTATATTCCAGAAACTCAGCTGCACGCCCCTACGGAGACACATCAGTTCCTGACGCGACCCTACATAGGATGCGAAGGCTGCCTTAAAGGGTTCAACTCAGAATGGGGGTCGTTGTTTGTGGGGCCGGTGCTCGGCCTGGTTTGGGCTCTGTCTCGCTTGCACCTTGACTGCCGGCGCTTTGAACTTGAAGGTCTCGTAGCACCACTCATGGTAGCGCCACATGGATCCAACGATGCTTGTGCTCTGACGCCACCTGAAGGGGGCATCTTAGGCTCGCAAGTCGGTCACAACTTTCCGCCAAGGCACCCGTACGCCTCAATATTCGATCGCATGCGGGAGCACCGGCCACGTCGAGTGCGAGAGTCACCTCGGCTGCTCCATGAGCGCTTATTAAGTCTTCTTGACTGCGCCTCTTGACCTTTCGGGAGCTTCTGGCAGAAGCAAGCTGAGGGAACAAGTTAACTTCCTGAGAAGTCTTGTTCAATAACAGGACCGCCAGTTCGTCCCGGCATTCTTGTGAACTATGCTTGAACTCCAGTGCCGGAACCTGACCAAAGCAGCGACGGCAAGGCTGAAGTGGAACCGCAAAACGCCTAGCCACCCAGCCCCCGTGTCCCGGCATCGGCGCAGTTGACAGGTCCACAGCTCTGGAGCCGCAAAGGAGGACGCCGCCTCTCGCGATGGCTCGAGGCTATGTATTCCGAAATTCGCAAAATCTGACGTGCCCTCTGCTTTCCTTCAAGGACCGAGTCCTCGGAGTCAGCCACATCCTGCAGCACGACCGATCTTTCGTTAGTCCGTTAGTCAATAGATTCGGGAAAGAGCAAGGACTTCCTGCAGGCCATGCTTGGAAGGATTCCAGCAGTTCTCGTCGCCGGACTTCTCCAGGGCGACAGCGCGCTCTCCCACCACGACGATCTCTGTTTCCCTCGCTTCCAAGCAGGGGGGGAATCATCAATGACGAATGCGACTGAGCTACAACCGCAATCTCTCCCTGCTCCAAGACAGGAGAAAAGGTATAAGCACTTTGGACCAAGCAGGTCCGGAAGATGTTGTAGTGTTGTTGTCCATCGCTGCCACGCTGAGTCATGCCGACAATGCCTCGGGCGTCCAAGAGTATGCCTACAAAGATCATCCGACAAAGTGCAGCAAAACAGCTGGCACCTTCTACACTAGGCCACCACGAAGTTCTATCAGAGCGCAGGCTTGTGCCAGCATCTGCACGTACTGTATGTTGATACAGAGCTTTCTTTTGCCAAACACATCACAGGCTTCTGCCAGCAAAGAGGCTGATCTCGGAGAAGCCGTTCGTCAGCTCATGCGCTATGCAAGTTTCGAGAATGCCCTTCCGAGCCTTTGCAGCGCAAATTGTTCCATGCCAAAAAGTGAGAAATACGTTTAGGAAGCCCTGGAGCTCGTAAGATGCCCGAGCAAGAGGCATCAAAGGTCAGGATCGGGATCCGCTTCAGCTCCAAAAGCTCAAAGGAGTTGCGGCTCACCTCCCGAGATCCAAGATCAGAAGATCACAAAGAAAAGGGTCTAGTCACTCTGACTCCGAGTCCAGGCTTGTTCAACAAGCATTTCAGCAAAACGTCCTCCAAGAAATCATCGAAGGCTTACCAAGACGATTATGTGTGGTTCAACCACCTTCAAGCCTAGTGCGACCGATCTCACCACAAGCCCCACGTCCCCTGTCCGAAGCACTGCAGCGAACAAGCAAAGGGTTTCGTCCCAAACCGCTTACCTGGTAACAAATTTATGCCAGCGTAGATCCTCAAACAGTGATACAGCACCACGACGACCATGACGACCACCACGAC